AGGGTAAAATGGGGAATTCAAGGGCCACGAGCCGGAGCAAAACAGAAACAGCCGCGGGGACTCTGATCTTCCGGTATCATTCCGCCACCTTTAGAGGTATCAACTCCTTCAAGCATTTTCACAACTTCTGCCATCTCTGGTCGTCTCTGCGGATTTGCATCCCAACATTTCTTCATTATGTTCGCAAATGCGGTCGGGCAGCATCTCGGTATCTCCGGTCTCAGATTCTTTCCGAAAACCATAGAAACAAGTTTCAGAATTTGACCTTGCGTAAGTATCAAGGAAACTAGCTTAGGGTTAGGTCAAAAACTTACATGTAAGACAACCGCAGAAGAAACATCGACAAAGCTAAGATCAGGATAAGGCATTTCGCAGCAGTAGATTTCCCATAGACATATACCAAAGCTGTATACATCGCACCTTCTGTTGTATGGCTTACCGTCGATAACCTGTTGAATAAATCCGAGTTTTTATTCGATTTTGGTTTTGAAAACCAAGAGAGAAACCATGAAGAAAGGTTTTTAATATTACCTCAGGAGCCATATATCCAAGAGTACCGGTTTCTCCAGTCATATCCTTTGGATTAAGAGCTTCTACTCTCGCTACTCCGAAATCCGCTATCTTCAAATTCCTTTGAACATCCAAAAGCATATTCTCTGTTTTCACATCGCGATGCACAATCTTCTCTGAATGCAAATAGCTTAGCCTGCAGCAATAAAAACACAAAGGGATTTTGCTTTTTTCGGTTATCAAATATATAATGGAGTAAGAAGGTTAGTTAATTACCCTCGAGAGAGATCAAGAGCGAGCTTGATAACGATTTTAAAAGGGAGTTTCTTACACCTATTGTCGATCAAGTACTGTTTCAATGTTCCACCAGGAAGATATTCCACTACCATACAACAAGCTAACGAGTTTTCTAAATTAGCCGATGGTATTTTCAGATTCATTGTTCCCATTGAAGCTCCAACAAACTGTTTCATTCACAAATATTTCAATAGATTGATCATAAGCTTTACTAAAATGTGTCACTAATTTAACTAACCTTTGTGACATTTGGGTGGTCGAGTTTGTGCCAAACAGTGACTTCTTGACGGAATAAAGTCCGATTTGTAGCGGTCTTGGCCGCTGTTACATTCCCATTATCTTCCCAATCAAGCACCTTCACTGCAAAAACAACCACCAAAACACAGTCACAATATCTAAATGGAAAAATTGTAATAAACATTTTGACTTTCTCGGGCGATATATATATAAAACCACAAGATTAAGAATCCACCTGCAACTGCTTGACCATCATAGCTGCCTTGATAGACAATACCATAAGTACCACGAGCTATAACATTGCTTGTTTCCAACTTAGCCAAATCAATCTCCCATTCTTCTTTATTAACTTTATGATTAACCTCAAGATTCCTTGACCAAACCCTACTCAAATGTTTCTCAAGCTGTTTATCTAAACTCTTCAAATCGATTTTATCCGCTCGAAAAATCTTATCTTTCTTACTGTTTTTCTCAACACCACCTTCTTCTTCTTCTCCTGATCTCTTCTCCATGTCTTAAATTTCAAAATCAATATCACAAAGACCAACACAAGTTTCACAAAAAAAAACCTCAAAGCTTCAATCTTTTCATCATCATCATTATGAAAACAAGTTTTTTTTCTTGAGATTACTAGTGAATTGAATTGAAACTATTACAAGATTAATTAAAAATTCAACAAAAGGAGATTGAACAGAGAATAAAGTATAGATTTTTATGTAATTCAACCAAACTTCCTGAAGATCATGCACATGCTCTGTTCCAGATTGTTCAAGGACTTGAATAACTCTACCATGTAATAATAGATAAATAGATAGTGTGTCCAATTAACTTATTCTATTCCAAAAAGTAACCCTACATAAACCCTAAGAAAACGACTCCTTTGCACAAGAATGATCCAAGGAGACACTAAAATCGGATTATTATTCTATTAAAACCAAGAATAAAAACCCTTGAAATAATACTAATAAAAAACTCAAATCAATAAAAAAAGACAAAACCAGAAGTCAGCTGTATCATCAACTAGGGCATGCAGAAGAAACCCAGAACGAAAACAGAGACACAAATTTGGTTAATTTAAAAACAAAATGGAAGAGATTATTGGGGGTGAAGAAAGATGGGATTTTTAATGGTGGGTTTCGGATTAGGCGGCTAAAAGAGCGAGATTTAGTTCGAAACAGAGGATTGTTTCTTCTTAAAAATCTCTCCTTTTT